AGATTTCTTAGGATATAAAGTCTCTAAAGAAGGTATTCTCCCATTCGATCAAGTTGATGCCATTTCTAATTTCCTAGACCACAAGCTTAACACAGCTTCGCATTTCTTGACCTATCAAATTTTTATCGCAGATTTGTGCCACATGCAGCGCACATTTTGTCACCTTTAATTAAGCTTCTCAAAGGCCATTCTAACAAAAAGAAATCATTCCGTCCAACTAAGAAGACTGAAAATCCTCTTCTGTGGTCTGAGGATGCCGAAAAGGCATTTTTAGCAGCTACAGAAGCTCTTACAAAAGCTACCCTCTTAAGACATCCCTGGTGCTCAACTACGTCTTTGAACCGATGCATCTGATGTTGCTATTGGCAGCTCTCTCATGCAACTCCAAAATGGTCAATGGGAGCCAATAGCATTTCTTTCTTTAAAACTGAATAACAGTTGACCATGAACTTCTGACAATATATGAGTCTATCAGGAAATTTTGGCACATGTTAGAAGGCCACAACTTTATCATATTTACCGACCAAAAACCACTAACATTGGCTTTCAGAAAAAAGCAGAAAAGTGCTCTCCTCAACAACTGAGACACCTTGACTATATCTCTCAATTTTCCACTGATATAAAATATGTTAAAGGTAGGAAAAATGTTATTGCTAACGCACTCTCCCGAAGAGAGGTAGATTCTGTTTCTCACTTACCTATTCTGGATTTCAAACAGTTAGCCTCAGCACAACTCACAGACTATGAACTACAACAATTACTAACTTCTAAATCTTCTTTGAAGCTCTCCAAACAGTATTTCCACTTGAAGATATTTATCTCTATTGTGACTGCCAAACTAATGTCCTTCGTCCTTTCATTCCCTTTTCATTTAGACCTATCATCTTCCAAAGTATTCACAACCTTTCGCATTCAGGTATATCTGCCATTTCTAAATTGATATGCAGACGTTATGTTTGGCAGACGTTATGTTAAATGTAAACATGCACACTTTTATCAAAAACTCTGTGAACGCTTGTGAGAAATGTCAACGTTCCAAGATACACAAGTATACGAAATCACCCATTTCGACACTTTTACTTCCTGATGCCAGATTTTCTCATATTCACATAGATTTTATTGGCCCATTACCTATAAAGTTATCAGTATTGTTTGACCATAATCGATGCTACGTGATGGCCGGAAGTATTCCCCACTAATGTCGGCTGAAAACTTATAAGCTCTAATTAGTGGATGATAGCTCATTTGGATTTCCTTCCATATCACTACTGACCATGGTTGGAACTTTGAATCGCATCTTTTCAGGGAGTCACGAACGCTAGGCACTCATCGTATCCGTACCACTGCCTATAGACCTCAATCAATGGAATCTTGAAGTTTCCATCGCCAACTGAAAAACCGCAAGAAATCCTCGCTGGACAGAATCGTTACCTCTTATACTTTTGGGTATTGGTCGTCAAAGACGGACATCCAGCAATGTTCTGAGTTAGTCTACGGTAAACCTTAAGACGGTTCGGATATTTTGTGCTAAGATCAGCTTCTCCGCCATCCCCAACACCAACATATGTATCGTTTACGATTTATCACAATCTCTGTTCCATCGCAACATCAAACACTGTTCAGAGCCTATCCAATTCATCCTCTTTAAAATCATGCTCCTGTTATTGAGAATTGACTCAAGCAAGCCTCCTTTTCACAACCATACTCCTCATCAGTCATGAGCTATCAGTCCTCATCCAGTCATTGGCGATATGATAAAACCTTATCATCTCTGTGCCACAGTAAAAATCAAACTGTTTCAATGATCGGCTCAAAACCTGCATTTTTCATTAGTGATAAAACCTTTTCAACACTAAACATTCAATAAGACAGACACATGACTTACCATGCCACATTTCCTAAAACTATCATAAATTTGGACGACATGACAAATTCCTCAACATCTGTCTACCACCTACTATATAAACTTATATATTGTTTTTATTCAATATTTCATATGCAGTTTAATTTTTATGGTTTTTATATTGTACCTTTTACCTTCACATTTCATTGTTAATATAAATTCGATATATTTTTTGTGTATCTTTCGGTCTCCCTCACTGGGGGAGATACTCTGTGGTGTTGCATAGAACACCTATGAAGTTTTGTGAGTGCGCATGCCTGCCTGGGATGAGCGGCAGATGGTGAGCAGAGCGCGGTGTGCATGAAGCGGGAATTTCCCTTTCATGGAATGTATTGATGTTTATAACATTAATATTTATTAAACTTTATCACATACTTTTCTTGCCTCACATGGACCTCTACACTTTTGCCGCATTTTTTACAAAATACTGCTATAAACTTCAGCACTTATCTTGATTATTAATTATTTAGATTTATGATCGGTGCGAAACGGAAGTTGGACTTTGCTTGAACCTGTTTGAACTCTATCATACTACTGCATTTCTAAGTATTTTTCTCAGGCTTCATATTTCTTAATTTTATACTTTACTTTTTTATATATGAGAACATATAAATTAACTAATTCAACTGAAATTTTTTATTCTTTAAATTTTTTATATTTTGTATTTTTATTTATTTATGTTTATTGTTTCTTCCCCTTTGATAACACCTGAATGGTTTTTCTGCTACTTGTTCTCATGATAAATCTATACAAAATATTTTAGAAAGAAAGTGATTTTTATTCTCCAGTATATAGATCCTCCAATATAGATTTAAAATGAAAAAAAAAAATTGCACAATTTTGAAGCGATTCGTCCCAAATGGAGCAGTCGAGGGTTGTTCCAGTGTGGAAAAAAAAAGCTGGAACAGAGTCTCACAGGTACAGGGACAGGGGAGGTGAGATAAAAAATTCAGTTAACCCATTTTTGAGCATTGCTAAATGAACAATAACCCAATTCACAATTATTAAATGAAACTACGAAAGCTGTTGCATAGTAAAATATGCTGGTACTGAAGAATCAGTCTTTTCCCAATTTGAATTTAATATGGGTCAGAGACGAGTTTCATAAATGCCAGCTTTGCTCTGAGTACTGCCTTGTTTTGGTTCTGCAAATTGAAAGTAATAAGCGCTGATTTATACATGATTAAAGCAAGGATGCTGTGTCACATTTACTTGAAATGAAAAAAGACCTTTTTCATATTTTCAGTTAAATTTTAAGAAATAAAAACACAGTTGAATATTTAATGAGCATATGGTTTTGTTTAAAAACAAAAGTACACCAAGTTAAATCCAGTATTTTACCTTAATAACATACTTCTCATTCTACAATTTCATTTATAAAAATGCTTAGTTATAAGAACTTAACATATTTTAAAACAAAAAATATTGCGAGAAAGATTTCATATTAGAGTAAATATTGCACATACTATGGGAGGTGAATAATGAATATAAATTACTACAGAAGGAGCAAAACTTATGACTACCATTTAACACGCTGCACTATCTTTGGCTTGCAAAACAGCTGCAACTCGCCTTGGCAATGGACGCCACAAATTCTTGGTAAATGACTGAGACAGGTTGTATCAAATGTCTCAGCAGCAGTCACACGAAGTCCAGATATTCTGACATGGTGGTGCTTGAGTTCCGACTGCACACATCAAATTGATTCTATAGTTAATCCGACGGTGGGTGGCCAGGTTATTAACTGGAATTCATCCTTATGCTACTCAAGCCACTCTAATGTAATTTAAGTCTTGTGACATGGGGCATCGTCCAGCTGGAAGATTCCATTTCCAGTTGGGAAGACAGATGCATGTAAGGGTGCAAATGATCCACAGTTACGTTCATAACTGTTGGTAGATATGTTCATAACTGTTATGGTCATAACTGCAGATAGTCTGTAGCTTTCATTGTCTGTTATACGACAACTAAGGGTCCTAGAGCCATCTATGAGAATTTCCCCCAAAGCATACCACCACCACCAGCCTGTGTATGATCTACTGTACAGGGCCGTGAGCAACTGTACCCTGTCACGCCCAAGGACATAATGAATGAGAAATTCAAATTCATCCAATCAAGCAACTGTCTTCCCTTTATCCACAGTCCAGTCTCGATGTTCCCAGGCCCACTGCAGGCAATAGCTGACAATAATGCTTGGTCAACAGAGGCGTTGGTGTATTTGGGTTTTAATTAGGCAAGCACACTAGGCTATCTGCCTAGGGGAGGGATGCCTTCGTGGAGGACTTTCTAAGGGAAATGGCGTATACACGTTACACTGGGGAAAACCACGAAAACACCCCTGCAGCCAGCCCGTTCGCGGGATTCGAACCTCGGACCGAACTACCAGTGTTCAGCGACTTTACCGCTCGGCCGCTGAAGTTCAACAGAGGCACATGTGTTGGACATCTGCTGCACAGTCCCATATCCCAACAGTGTCCATTGAATTGTGTTCCAAAATACTTGCACTTGGACCTGCACTGTATTGGGTAGTCAGCTGAGCCACTGTCTAGCGCCGATTTTGTTGTATCTAGCGGGACAAGTCTCCAACATCCTTTCTCTTTGGAGATGCACGGACGTCCAACACTGCTTCCCTTAGTGTGCTACTGCGGTTTCATTTAACGCTTCCCTGAAGTCTACGCTGTTTCACTGCATCATCCACTCTGCATAAATACTAACATTGACAGATCCTGAACACCCTAAAAGTCATACAGTTTTGGAGATACTTGTTCCAAGTCTTCAAACATTACAATCTGCTCCTATCAAATTCACTTAGATCAGCAGCCTTTCCCATCACTCACAAAACTAAGTGCAAGAATTATTCCTTACCTTCTCCAAGCAGCAATTAAATATCATTCCCTCTTAATCCTGTGCCCTCCACGTCATCCAGACAAGTTCATTGAAAAACATGGGTATGATCTAATGTTTTGGCTCATCAGTGTAAAGCAATCTATAACTCCTTGTTTTCATTATATTACAAATTACAAAGAAAACATATATTAAGTTAATAAGCTTCTTGAGTTATTAATTTGCAGTAACAGTTTTATACTAGCAATCTTACCTTGAAAATTGACTATGTGTTAAAACCAAGCCTTCTAATCTAATGGGAAATTTTACATCACAGCTACCAACCATATTCTGTATTTTGAAATCCAGAAATTTGGCCTATAAGGAAATACACAGCATTACGACATTTTTAAAAATTACAGTAACAGTAATTTCTATTTCTAGCAATGAAAAGCGGAAATTATTTTACCTGTTATAGCCAATACAGAAATCCATCACAAAGGCTAACTATGGCCAATTTTAGAGTTATCTCAAATCCAAAAACTAAACTTTCTTTCAAATAATTTAAATAATGTATCACAGCTTACAGACTCTTAAAATTAACATAGCATGAACACATCTTAAATTTATGATATGCACTGTTGCATAAATGCACACTACGCAAAAAAAGAGGGGGACAGTTTTATATCTCCCGTTCTAATGTGCCAATTGACGAAATTCAAATTGTGTTTCTCATGGCTCGAAAGCATGACTTAGGATATATATTAGATGTATATATAGCAATGTTCTAACATAGGTATTTTGACACAAAATGGGAACTTTTCTGAAATAACATACCAATTTTTTCCTATATTTCGATTCGACAACTTAAATTATGCCTAAATATTAAATTTTGTGAAATTTGGTGTGAAATTTACGAAAAAATTCAAAAATTTATCTTGCTCCAATTTTTCAGTTTGTGCCAAGAATAATTTCGCTTGGCGAACTTTTTAATATATGGCAACCTATTTTCCTTTCCCTTCCATTACGGAGGGAGCAGAAAAAAAAGTCTATTCCTTCTTACCTTTTTACATTGTGCATAAGCGGAAAAAAGTCACATTGTTCCTACTTTCAAATCATTTTAACCGCTTCCATTTTTTTTCATTTAACATTTTTTTTTGAAAAAAATTGCAAAAAATCATCACATTATTTATTTTTATTAAATACAGAAAATGAACAACAAATATGAGGTTTAAGTTGATTTTAATTTTTTACAGGTTAAAACATTTAGTTTAATATTAGTTACTATCGAGTTACTCGGCAAATAAAAATAAATATATCATCGTAGAGGTTTGTGAAACAAGGGACAACACAAGTGATACCTACATTCTAACATGGTATCTGTCTCTTTCTACGGCTTACCTGAATCTCTTTTTGGGCACAGAGAACCGTCTCATGGATTTGATTTTTTTTTCAATAGCAGGAATAACATCTGGAAAATGCCTTGAGTATAATCATTACCTGAAAAATCATTGCTTTCGTATCTTGCATCATCGCCATTATTTCTTTTTAATTCTTATATATTACTCATCCCCAGCCGTGATACTGACACTTGGAAAAACACGTGACCAGGCCTGCAAAGAACCGCGAAACCAACGAACTTGCCGAACAATACCAAAAAAGCTGATATTTATGTCATTTCTCCAGGCCGAGTAAAACCGTGATAAAACAAATCGTATTGACAAATTCTGCTTTGCCCGAGTTTTCTTGGGATAATAATTAACTGCAATACATATGAACCTGGGATAATTCTATTCAAGGAATTGAAAATGTAAGTGACATGATAAAATACTTTAGTGCAAAATTCAAATCAAAATTTTACCTTTTAAACTAAGAGCACATAATCCAAAGAATTTAAAACGTACGTAAAATTATAATACTTTAGTGAAAAGACAAATAAAAATTCCTAAGAAGTAATTAAAAACTTCATTTTCATTTAGAACACAATCGAAACTATGAATAAGATCGTTACACTACTGACGTTTAGGTTTGCCATTTTGAACTATTGCCAAAAAAGTAAACTGTCTTTACTTTTTTAACAATAGTTCCTTTACTTCCTTTTTCAAGCTTTCTTTTGCCTTTTTCTGTAATTTTTTAATATATATATATATATTTTTTTTTTAATTTTAATCTAAATTCACCTTATGGATTTTTCTACTCATTTTACAAAATTTTATTAAAACTTTTTGAGCATGCGACCCTTTTTGAATCTACTAATTTTAAAGAATAATTGATTCCAAAATTTAATTAAAGTTTTGAGCTTTTTGACCTTTTTTATTCCCTTTTTGTTATATATATTAAAAAAGGGGAGTCAGAATTTACTTAAATTTCATTTTAATTAGTAATCTTTTTCTTTTCCAAAATTAAAATTTTAATAGAAGTATTAGAAAGTTTATCTTCTGGTTTCAAAATTTTATCTTTTGTTCCAATTTTTAGTCTTTTAAGCGATTACTTTCTCGCCACAGTATTTTAGTTTCACCAATGAAGCCAAATTTGCAAACCTAAACGTAATACTGTAACGATCTTATTCATAGTTTTGATTGTGTTCTAAATGAAAGTACTCGAAGTTTTCAATTACTTCTTGTATTTTTATTTAAGTCTTTTCACTAAAGTTTTATAATTTAGCTTACGTTTTAAATTCTTTGGAATATGTGCATTTTCTTAAAGGTAAACGTTTGATTTGAATATTTCACTAAAGTATTTTATTATTTCACTTATGTTTTCAATTCTTTGAATATAATTAATTCTCTTTAATTAAAGAACAAGATTTTAATTACAATTTACTTTGTTTTTTCCTTGCTTTGAGCAGGGGCCAGAATTTTCAGGTGAACTATTATAATTAAAATTAATTGAAATGGTTCAGGAGCTAATTCTGGATAGGATTTTTTTGGAAGAGAGATTTCAGTTGATTTCAGTGTTCCTCCTGCTGACGAAATGGCACTGGAGTTGATTGAATTCCTCTTCTATGGAATTCTTTTTTCTTTGAATTTCATTGATTTTTGGAATTGGGGTATTGCTTGTTTGAACAGTTTTGGTTTTAACGTTTATAAAATTCTTTATTGCATTTATATTTCTTTCACAAAGGGATAGAAAAAAATGGACTTCCAACTTAGGAGAGGAAAGGGACTTAAAAGAGGAAAGGGAGAGAAATAAAAAGTTTGACAAATTGTTCTAGAATAAGCACATTCAAGAGCATGATGAACAAAAATAAATAAATAAAAAAGTAAAAGAATGATACATAAAATTTATCAATCAATAATTATTAGATTATTTAAATTTTGGCTATTCATAGTCATAAAAATATTCATCACAACATCGTAAAAATATTCATCTTAAGAAAAATGTATAGAACTCATCACACATTTTGTTTAACTTTTCATACAGAAGAATCATCTATACGATAAAGAAACTATACAAAGTAATTTAAAATATTTATTCCTAGAAACAAATTTAAAACAAAATAGTTTCTTTTATAAAATTAAAAACCAAATTTAGATTTTATTTTGGATGAAGCAATATATTTTCGTACAAAGAAATTTCAAGTGTATGATAAATAAGACAAAACAAAAAATGAGTATAACCAGACTTTTAAATCAGACAAAATAGATCAAATATTTAAACGACAGAATATTTAACACTTTTTACAATACAGAACCAGTGTTCCTAGATTGTGCAATTTTTCGTAAATTTGCAACTTTTAACAAACTAGTATTATTAAAATTTTAGTATAGAAGTTGGCATCTGGCAATCTTGTTTACATGTGGGCTTTCCTTTACAAGGCTGCATAGCCTGACACCAGTATAACGAGAAAGGGGTAAAGGAAGTAAAATAAGTGGAAAGAATTTTTTAAAAAATGCTTCGGGACCTCTCACCACTTTCCTCCTTCACATGCATTTTTTTTTAAGTTAGTTAACCACCTCAAGCTTGTGCACCATATACTGGGTACCCAAACAGAGAAAGAAATGAAATTCATACTCCAGATTATAATATTGCTAAGAACTAAGCAATTCATGTGACTTAAAAATAAAAACAACAGCATTTTTCTAAATAACAACACAAATAAATTTAACAGTGAAAAAACAAGGCTTTCTGTGTGGTGGATTAGATCCACCACACAGAACGGAAAACTAAAAAGCATTCCTTAATTAAGGGTACAAGGCTTCCTTAATTAATTGTTCACAATTACGGGGGGGGATTTTTGAAATTAAGAGCCAATTCAAAAAATTTAATACAAAAGTGCTAACAGTCTAAACACGAGGAATCTCTTAAGAATGGAAATCCGCAAATTAATTTAAAAATAGAAACCTAAATTAAATGAGAATTAAAAAGAAATGGATATTCAAACATTTGAAAATGAGCAATATAGTTTTAAAATTTTCGTTAAAGCCAAGATACGTAATTGTTGATGCCAGAGGCACCATCTGTGAAAAGATGTATAATATTTTGTGTTCTAAAGAGATGACGCTGATGTTTGTTTATAGCGCAACCTTGTGTTCATTTTGATTTGAGTTTTGAGGGTGTTCTGAGATGCCGTCGAGAGATGTAAACTAACTATGCGGCTTTTTGAGTAATTAATAAATTTTCATATACAGTCCATTTTTGAGTTCTTGGGTAAAGTGATTTATTTTTAATTATGAGTTTTGCTGAGCTATTGTGGGCCCAGTAATTAAAGAGACTAAGAATCGAATACAGTTTGTAACTTAGAACCAATAGATGGTAAATTTGTGAGGACGTCAGAGGTCATGTGGGTATGCATAACTATGACGTCACAAAATCATGTGATCTCTGACGTCATTTGCAATTTTGTAGTCTTCTGTTGCTACTTTAGTTTAAAATTTTCTGGCAAGACAGTACAAAACCCAACAAAAAATAAAAGAGAAAATATATTTAGGTTCAGATTCAAGAGTTAAAATAAAATATAGAGTTTTTCTTCATTAAATATCATATAATATAAAAACAAAAATACCTCAAAACCTAACTTCTGTACAATTCTTGCATATTTTCTTGCAGCCAGTCTGGACTGTTCTTCACTGCAAATGCAAAATATTAATGATACACAACTGTTAATACACTCAAAATGTTTTTAACAATTATCAACACATATTCCTTGCATTTTATACAAAAATTGCAATATGGAAGAAAATTAGAGTACTAAAACAAAAAAGTAATAACTTAAAAGCTAAAATGTGCATTAATTTCAATATGAATGACAATAATAAATGTCTTTACCTCTTGGCACCAGTGCAGACCATTTTGCCTGAGCTGAATATGAGAGCAGTTGTTCTTGGCTCTCTAATACGCATGATTACAGCAGCAAAACGCTTAGGATTGTACTCAGCATTTCTTGCGTGAAGAGCTATTTTCTTTAAATCTAGTTTACAGCCCAAATTTACAGTTGAGACTATGTTCCTGTATAGAAAAATTAGGATTTAAACAATGCATCTCTGTGCAATAAGCCATAATAAAATTCTGTAACTGCTAACATAATGTTAACAGCATTACAATATTAATAACTATGTGCTATCTAAAAACAAATATACCCAAAATAATGAAATTATATCGTCAGAACTGTTTATTATACTAGTTGATGCATGTTGTATCCATTGGTTTCAAATAACAGAAAGATGATGACTGCTTGCAGTAACTTAATGTGGTACTTGTAGTAAGTTTATGAAATAACACTATGCATATAGGTATTCAGTGCAGTATACGATATAGATAATGCAAACATAAGTATGCCTTAAATAATGTCCTTTAAATGTTCCTTTTGCTTCGAGTCATTGTTCAAGACAATGAGGAAAATCCTGTGAAACAGCATGTACTTCTGAGCTGATGACAACCTTTAATTCTGCAAATGATGTACAGAAACTTTCTCCTGCAGGTAACCCCAAATAAAAGAAAGTAGATTGGGAATATGAAATTGGAAGAGCAGGATAATCACTTCAAATCGACAAAACTAGAAGTTGAATAATTTGGAAATGTCTGTCAAAAGTACAGCATACTTTTATATACCATTACTATGTTTTGTTATAACCAAGTTGTATCCACTAACTATCTTGCTCACAAATCTGCTGATCTTTACTGTTCCACCACAATACCCACTCAGCATCTGTGACAGAACTTGTTTGAAAGAAAGCTCCTCCAATTGTAATCTGCAACTACTCCAGCCAAAGGTCCAAAGCATAATAACTGCACAATTTGTCACTCAGGTTTACATGCATGTAGGTATGTAATTCATGCATACATGGATAATGAAAAAAATGGCAACTCAAATTGGTAAATATAATACTCATCATGCCAACCTATATAACATTCCTACTGTATGCCACCCCAGTGTGAATATTCTAAAGTTTTTTAAGTGTCATTTACATGCAAGCATCACATGTTACCTGCTCATGAACATATGCTGGCTAAACAATGTAGACAAACTCGACAATAATGTTAGCAATACAGGAGAACAATTGACATTTATTGTGCTTCCATTGCTCTAGTTAAGTATGTGCTCATGAAGTTTTCTAATGTGATGGAATATTGTAGTGACCAAGATTTAAATTTGAGCAGTATAATTAATAAATTAATATTAACATACATTTTTT